CCGTGCAAGAAAAATATGTGAAAAATGTAGCCACGACGGTGACGTTTCTTAATTAAAAAGTTTCACATTGAAACTTTGCATCGTTATATTTCTGCTTATAGAACACATAGAGCAAAAATAAAAACACTTTCCTTATATAAATCGAACCCAAGCAGTTGATTAAATGTAATAAGAATTTGATCGATTCAGCGGTTATTGAGAACCGATAATATGCCTTACTTGCAACTTAGCCTTTCGCGTAAAGATACACGGTGTGTCTTGCGTCTGAGTGATGATGACTCTTCAAGACACTACCATGTCTCTTGATATAATTTGAATATATAGTGAGTAATTAAATAAAAAGATATAATATATGTATATACTTATCACGAATGATGCAAAAAGTTCATTCATGATAACTGTTATAAACTCAAAAATAATTATATTATTATATTTATATATTCACAACTAATTATAGAGGACATTATTCGCGTTTCCTCTTTCACTCATAATTTTACATCTGTTTGTAATTATCGGTCATATATAATGTCAAAAATTAATTATATTCCCATGTTCAAAAAAATTTTGTTTATACATATACATATAATCACAATCATTAAATTTTGCTTCGATTACTCAAAAACACAAATTAGATATATCATTATATTATTTGATTGTGTACAATCATGAAAACGGATGTGATATTTTATAATAATAATCAAAATTGTATGAAAAGTAAGATTACAAAATTTCTTTAATTTTCATTGATATATGTAACTGTTACGTCCGGTGGACTTCACGATTCTGTTCTTTCATCGAAACGTTTCTTAGAAGTAATCAACGATTGGGTTGAATTTAAAATAAAGAAAACCCAACTCGGATAAACAAACAGAGTGGCCAGTCGAGATAGCACTAAGAAAATTTAAATAAAAATTTTAATTTAGCCTCGGAAATATAAGAAATTTAACCTATGCGTATCAATGGGTCGTCTCAGAGACTTTGAAATAAAAGCCTTGGTGATCGGGAAATTGACCAAAAGGTAAATACGAGCAGAGCATAAAATTAATATCGCACGTGCGCTGGATCAATAGGCCATTCTCAATCAAATCGTAGGAGATAAGGAAATCAGGCCGCTCCCACTCTCTACTGGATGTTGAAGTCAAACCTTAAGAAAAAGGGCTTAACCAATTAGAGGTCTAAGACACCCTCTCTTCCTAAATATCTAACTTCTTGATCCCTAAGAAGGGAATAGTAAAAATCTTTTGATTGCTTAAAGAAATTCCCACCATCCAGAAGGGAGGAGGAGCAAAAACTTTAAAATTCAAGAGCCGAGAGCGCGGACATGCAGTTAATCTCAAGAATTTTTTCGGCTTCCTCTTCTCCGCATCAATTCGCCATATATAAGCATATATATATCAATCAAAAAGTTCAAGTAACAAAAATCGAAGTGAGTGTGATCCTTGTGGTCCTCTGGACGCTCCTGCTAATTCAAACAACCAATTCTGGGGTCCAGCTTCACATTCCGGCCTAAGTCAAATTTTTTCAACGCACTCAACAATTAGTAAGTTCATCCGATTAGTACCCCCTTTTTTTTTACCTTTCACGATTAACTTGTCATTGGAAAAGATCATTCTTTTTATTTACCACCTAAATCAACAATAACGATAATTATCTTCGTTTGTCTTCATTTTCGAATCAGCTATTTGAATCTTGTTCTTCAGTTCATTCCTCCTTTACGAGGGTCGTTTGATAAGTTTGGTAAAAAAGTAAGTAAAACACATTTTTTTGGAAAAAATCTGCTTTATTTTTCAACATAGTCTCCATCAAGGGCTATACACTTAATCCAGCGAGCTTCCAATTTTTTAATACCATCGGAAAAATAGGCTGTCTCGAAGTCTGCAAAATACTCATTGACGTCGGCGATGACTTCCTCGTTCGACGAGAATTTCTTCCCACCGAGCCAAATTTTTAAGTTTGGGAACAGGAAGAAATCGCACGGGGCTAAATCCGGAGAATAGGGTGGATGAGAAATCAATTCATAGCCCAATTCGTGTAGTTTTGCCATTGCAACGGTCGACTTGTGGGACGGTGCGTTGTCTTAATGGAAGAGCACTTTTTTGCGCGCCAATCTTGGCCGTTTTTTTTCAGTTCTTCTTTTAAATGGTCCAATAAAGTTGCATAATATTCTCCTGTTATTGTCTTACCCTTCTGCAAGTAGTCAATTAGGATAATTCCTTAAGAATCCCAAAAAACAGTGGCCATCACCTTTTCAGCCGACAAAACAGTCTTCGCCTTCTTCGGCGCACTTTCACCAGACATTATCCATTGCTTTGACTGCTGCTTCGTCTCCGGAGTGTAGTGGATCCAAGTTTCGTCCACAGTCACGAATCGACGCCAAAAGTCCTGCGGATTGCGCTTTAACATCGCCAAACACTGCGTTGAAACATTCTTTCGCGTGCGTTTTTGATCGAGAGTGAGCAATCGCGGCACCCATCGTGCACACAGCTTTTTTACATGCAATTTTTCATGCAGGATGTTATGCACTCGTTCCGTGGAGATGCCTACAGCCTCAGCAATCTCACGTATCTTTATTCGGCAATCTTCCATAATCATATCATGGACTTTTTCCACGATATCCAATGTGGTGATCTCAACTGGCGTCCGGAGCGCGCTTCGTCTTCAGTACAGGTTCGGCCACATTTAAATTCGTTTCCAATAATAAACGGTCTTCAATGCAGGAGCAGAGTCCCCGTGAACTTCGTTTAACTCGACTTTGATCTGCGCTGCTGTCCACTTCTTTAAATAAAAGTGTTTTATCACTGCACGGAATTCGTTTTTTTCCATTTTTGCGGAAACTGCTAAACCACTCGCTTCAAATGACTACCGAACGTGAACTACGCGTCACTTCTGGCTGAAATTTGGCCTGGGAGGGTTTGGAGAGTGGATCTTTCGAGGTATCACGTCACCAAATGGATTGTAGTGCCATTTCATAGAAATTTACCAAACTTATCAAACGACCCTCGTATACATTTCCTCGTTCGTTGAGAATCTCCGCAAGGCTATTCACGAACATTTCCTCGTTCGTTACGAATCTCCGCAAGACGATTCATGGACATTTCCTCGTTCGTTGAGAATCTCCGCAAGGCGATTCACGAACATTTCCTTGTTCGTTGAGAATCTCCGCAAGGCGATTCACGAACATTTCCTTGTTCGTTGCGAATCTCCGCAAGGCGATTTACGAACATTTCCTCGTTCGTTGAGAATCTCCGCAAGGCGATTCACGAACATTTCCTCGTTCGTTACGAATCTCCGCAAGGCGATTCACGAACATTTCCTCGTTTATTGAGAATCTCCGCAAGGCGATTCACGAACATTTCCTCGTTCGTTGAGAATCTCCGCAAGGCGATTCACGAACACTTCTTCGTTCACCTGCGACCTCCCTTGACACCCCAATCCGTTTGAATTCATTTTTTTTAATTATTATTATATATTTTCTCTTTTATCTAACATTTAAGTGCACAATCTAGAAGAAGTAGAATCTTTGTGAACTAATTCCTAGTTCATCTAATTTGTAATGATCCTCACCCAATGACATTTATAATAAAATCTGGAAGGGTTATATTCGAGCATTCCTAAGTTATTTTTAAACGCGAAATTATTATTAGTGCCACCCTCTAAGCGGCATGCTGCGTTACGGTGGCGGAATCGTCGCAACAGACGTTTAAGGAGGCAACAGCCTCAATCCACGGCGGACCTCCCCGATAAAATAGATATTAGCAATATTAATAACTTCACCCCCGTTAACGGCACACGCACACACTCACCTCATAGATCTCCCTCGATCCCTCCACCTAGTTACTCCCCTATTTCCTCCCCCAGTACACCTGTTCCCCTTTCTGCATCACCTCCCAGATCTTCTACCCCGATCTCTCCCGAGCCTTCCCCTCCCTCTTCTCCCCAACCTTTATTAGCGCCCCGATCCCCTTCTCCCATACCTAATTACCCCCCATAATTACTCTTGATTCCGATTCTTCGTCGGAGGCCTCAGAGTTCCTTGAGGATCAGGAGGATTTCATAGGACATCCTCCTGACTTTGATGAGACCTCCCATCCCTTCGACTTCCCCCCAGAGTCCCCGTCAGAATATCCTCTCCCGAATCCTACCCCTGAACCTTCCCATCCCGATCAATTAAACTATTTTATAAGCCAGTTCCCCCTCCTCGATATCCCTATCCCTGAAGGATCTTATTGCGTGGATCCAGGTGACGTGGACCACGAAGAGTTCCTACATTATCTAACTACTGCCCCTCCCGACTCAATAATACCCTGGTACCTCCCCGGTTCACCTTTACCACTAGCCGTCCCCATCCAAGCTTTATTAAGAAAATTTCCGCCGTCCACCATCCAGTTCGATGACTTTTGACCTCTGTTCCTTCCCTGAAATACTCCTTTAGATTTTGCTTAAATAGGAAAATTGTAAAATCCAGCCAGGATATAGCCTCCTCAACTCCTTTTATTTATTCCTGGCTGATGTCCTCCGAATTAATGTAACACCCGCGAATTTACATATTCACACACATACACACTCACAACTCGCACATAAAAGATGTTCTTGTAAACCCGTTAATGATAATATCGAATAAATTTTAATTTATAATAAAGGGACAAATTTATTTCACTCATCCCCTTCATTTCCAATATCGCACAAGGTCCCGTCCCGTTTAAAAGAGATTAGATTCTCTTACCGAAAAGGGACTAACGAGCGCATCGGCCTAAGACACTCACAGTGTTAAAGGGACCATTCTGATCACTGACCTGTGTTAGGCCCCAGCACAGTGCGCTCGACCCGATCCATACACACGCCCGAAAGTGTGTCACCGGGTAAGTAGGTTACGTTCGTCCAGCTGGCCCGACCTTTCAAGGGTCTGGACGTAACATAACATTAAGATTAAACCTAAAAGTAATCAGATCAGAATCAATTTAAAAATATCCTAGAAATATTTTTTCTGCATTAAGATTTATTGAGTCGTTTGGAAAATAAAATAAACATTAATTTAAGTATATCGGCTAAATAATATCGACCGGACTCAGCAAGGCATCCTCTATGTTCTTTCTTAATGCTATAATATTTTTCAGACAAAATTCGAAATTTGGTCTAGTATATGCTGCATTCCAGCAACGTAGCATCAACTGGTACAATGGTGACGGACAGTTAAGAGTCATTGGCAACCTGCCTCCAGCACATACATAATTTATTACTTCTTCATTAACCTTGGCACTATAAGGTTGCTCACCCAACGATGTAATTTCCCACATTAATACCCCAAAGGACCAAACATCGGTTTGAGAAGTAAATATTCCCATTATCAAAGATTCGGGTGCCATCCATCGAATAGGAAGCAAATCTTCTCCTTTCTAAAACATGATTTAAACAAAAATTTAATTTTCTGATTTAAGTTGTTCATTTCTAGAATGTGTGCAAAATCAAAAACGTTAATTTATCTCTTGCTATATATAAATAAAAACTACTTATATTCTATATTACTTAAAAAAACAATACATGATACTATTATAAAAAAATAGAAAGTATTTTTAGAAGAATTCATTTTTTAATTATTAACTTTTTTCCATAATTATATATACCAGGCGATAATAATCATTCTTGATCTCTCTAGTTAGTCCAAAGTCTCCAATTTTGATGACACGATTCTCTCGATTTCTCGAAGATACTAAACAATTGCGACACGCTAGATCTCTATGTACAAAACGTAACTCTTCCAAGTAGCAACAACCTCGCGCAACATCTTCGCACATGGCGAGCAAATCCTGCAAACGCAGAGCAGACGAATCTGACACTTGCAAATTTCGACATTGTCTCAAATATTTTAACAGATCTCCAATTTCCATCAATTCCAACACTAGTAACGGAGAGTCTCCATCTAAACAAACGGCAAACAATCTTAATATATGTTTGTGTTGAAAATGACTCATAAGCTTGGCTTCCTTTAACAATTTCTTTTTCTCATGGGAAGAAGCATCTTTTCCAAGCGTTTTTATTGCAACGGATATCTCTGTGCCCGATTTTTCTAAATCCTTTACCTTTCCTTGATACACCTGCAAAATATTTCACACAAATTTACATGCGTACTTTATTGAAAAATGTATAATTTAATGTCAAGTAGTATTTTACTTTATATTTTACTTTATATTAAATAATTCAATGAAAAGTATATAATAAAGTGCATGCTTGTTTTCTCATGTAAATTTTATATTACTTATAATCTGTTTAAAAAATTCATGTGATTTATATTTTTATTAGAAAATATGTATCTGTTAAACCAAAAAATAATTTAAAATATTGCTTGAAAACATTAATTTTTACCATTCCGAATGCGCCGCTACCAAGATGTTTCGTAAATGTAATTTGATTTCGTGCGATTTTAGTTATCGCACATTTATCCGGATTATAATGTAACATAGGACTGTAAATCATATTGAATTGAATGTTGCGACAAGGTACTTCAGGTAGAATCGCCAATTCTACATCGGTCATTGTAGAAGACAAAAATTGTTCATTATTACCTCTGCGTTGACGATACACTATTATAAAGTTTCGATTTGATTATGTAATAATATGTATTATAAAATTTACTGTATTTTAGTAAATTTATTCGTTTAGTTTTATATAAGTAAATTACTATTTTCAGTAAATCTCTAGATATTATATCAGATATATATGTATAATCTACAATTCAAGTTGATATTTATATCAAATATACTTACAACGATAAATGTAGAAAATGCAGATTATAGGAACTATAACCAACATCAATAACAAGTAATATTTATTCCATATTATTCCAGGAGTACTCGGAATATCTAGATTAAGCAAAAGTATAATTTTAATATCTTTGTGTGTGTATATTTTTACAAATTTATTTTTACTTATAACTTTATTATAAGATTTAATTTTTTTAAATTTTAGATTCCTATTCATATCCAAAAAATATTAGCACATATTATAATATCTATCAATATTATAATATCTATGCAGCACAAAATATTACAACTACTTTGCAACAATGTTGCAATATTACAAATTGCAAGGCAACATTACGGAAACATTGTAGAAATATAATTTAACAAAATGTGAATTAGATATTAGCAATATGATATTCATATTTTGAAAACATTTTAAAACTATAACACTCTTTAATTTATCTATAAAAATAATATAATAATACATTTTTTTATGTCTGTATATATGCGATGAATTTTACTTTTTTGCAAAAGTCAAATGAATTATTGACACAAATAATATGGAGTAAATATAATTCTAAGCTACAGATAAGCCTTGCTATTTTTTTATTAAAATATAGATAACATTTTACATCAATGTTACAATATATTTTATAATATATTTTATGTTACAATATATTTTCACTTCATGTACGAATACGATATTAATCTTCAAAGATAATATATCTTTTTATTATATTAAGAATATATATTATTATATCTATCATTATATTTTTCTGTACTTTTCACATGCAACTATATGTAATTGTAACGGATTTTTAAAATTTTTAAATTTTTAAATAAAAATGTAATTAGGAATGTATAATTAATTCTATAACTAATATATAAATGTGTATAAAATACCTATTATAAGAGTATATAGAATATTTAAAATAAAAAAAGTGATTCGTAAGTAATAATTTAGAGCAATTTTGTACAAAAATATAACATTTTATTTTATATGATGTTATGTTTAAATATAATTTTGTAATATATTAGATATCGTAAACTAGTATTTATATCAAGCTTTTTAATTTAATTAAATGTTTCCAAGATATTCATCCATCAAAAACAAAAATATTTTATACGTAATGTTATTAAATAGCTGCTATAACGTTGCATTCTTTCCAATATATTACAGTGTAATATTGCTACAATATTTCATTGCAAGAAGCGAACACTTTAACTTTATCACAATCTTATAACAATAACTCAGCAAAGTTTCGCATTTGATTTGCAATATTGCAATGTTTCAATGAAATTATTCTTCAATATATCCGCAACCTTATCGTGCTGTATAGGTATTTTCATTTGCTTACCACGTTTGCTATCACGTGTTGAAAAAATAAATCTTTCATCAGCCGGCCATATAAAAGTTTCCTCATATTTGAGAAATCTCAATATCAAGCGAAACTTGTATAAAGTTCCCGATTGTAAATTTTTGAGATAGTATATTACTTTATCTTTATAATTCATTTTAAAAGAATTCATTGTTTGCCACTTTTCTGCTGCAATATCTTTGTACTCTAGTGTAAAAATGATCGTCAGATTAATGTTGGAGATCCATGAAATGTTCATGCTATTTATGTCGACCCCGCTCAAAGTAATATTGTTTGGTTCTGAGGATATGTGAACGATCTTGGTTAAACTCTCGTTGTACAAATCGCTGAAATTAGTTGGATACACACGCACGTATATCAAGTAATTTTGTATTGGTAGCAACAAGTTAATCTTTGTGAAAAATCTGTCATCTGCCATACGTTTCGGCATATTGATAAATTGTTTGCTCTTATGTTGCTTGTCGTTCACTAACTTCCAATGCACTTCGTAGTTCACGCTCACGCAGTTCAATTGCTTGGGTGGCATCCAATGAACTACTGCTATAGTAGGCGTCAAAACTAAAACACTTATGTTTTCTGGTGCATTAAGCTTGCCCGAATTAGTTTTTAATGACATCACATTCGAATTGATTGGATTTATTGATAATTGATCAAAGTAAAAATTGCTTAAAGTAAACTGCAACTTGTACTCTGTAAATGGTGTTAAGTTCTGAATCTCGTAATATCGCTCGCACGTCACATATCGCAGCACATTGAATTTCTCAGATTTGTTGAGATTGTTGTCTAAACAGCTTACAGAGATAGTATATATAGTAGTTGGTAAATTATATTTTTTGCATCCACTCTTTACAACTGACTCCGGAAGATTCACAATGATGCTGTTTGTTGTTGTATTCACATTCTCAAAATTATAAACTTTCTCGTCAGGTGTCAGGCATCTCATTGGAGGATATGGTTGTACAGATTTATCAAAAGCGTAAATTTGATAAGAAAATTCCATTGAGTCTATTATTGTCTTTTCAACATATTTGTCTGCATTTACGCTCTTGAGACTTGCGTATTTCTTTTTCAAAACATAGAAAGAAGATTTAGGCGAATAATTGCTAATAATTATTGCTGAAATGTAAATGTTTCTTTTGTCAATCGTCATAGATAGGAATTCCAAGATATCACTTATGTTTTCCTTGTGTAAAATCTTACTGCATATAGAAACGTTAGTGTCTGTCACAAATATGCGATTAGAAAATAACCAGTAAATTAACGGCTCCTCATTATTTATGTTTTCAAATATTATTTTAAGAACATGTGTATTTTCATCATGAAATAGGCACAAGGAATTATTTATCGAAACAATTTGCTGAATTTTTTTATTGGGCTGATGTTTATTTATATTATATTCTTCATTCTTCAAATTGTATGATACGTAATATAAAATTCTAAAAAATATGTAATAATTTTACTCTCATTTTTACTTTCATTATAAAACATTATTTTAACAGAAAACAGAAATTTGTTTGTAGTGAAAATTCGAAATTCTTATAATTATATTATAACCTATTATTTTTTTTACTTATGATCTTAATTGTAAAATCACGTAAAATTATAGAAAAATTACAAATATGCATAAATGTTTAATAGAAAATTATTTTTTCAGGTGAACGTACCCCATAGACGGTGACACACTTAAAAAGTAAATAACATCTGATGATTTGACAATCTCATCAAATTTAATTATGCCATTTTCCCACATTGTTAAGTCGAACTTTACAATAATATAATAGTAATCTTTCGTACAGGCTATATATAGATTTCTTGCTACCCAGTCAATGCAGAGACTATGGGGATAATGATCAAAGTTAGCTATTTTTGTGATATTATTTTCATTAATCTTCAATGTCATTAGGTATCTTTCTGTTAGCCAATAAATTCTATGTTCTTGTATCGAATAAGCGACATATTTTACATATCTGAAAAAAAGGAACCAATTATAATTGTATAGTAAAAAGTTATAGTTGAAATTTCTAATTTTATAGTTATTACTGTATGTTGTAGTACTGTAATGTTGATAATAATAAACATGTGCATAATAATAATAACTTTAATTTTATATTTAATGTTAAAAATAATTTATGATAAATATAACTGTTTTTTATCAGTATACGTACCCTGACATTAAGGTATTAGTAATTCTTAAATCCACGTCCAATATTTTCATATCTAGATCCGTTGTAAGTAATAATTTAGGTATTGGATTTTCATGTGTAGTCGACACATTGATTAAATCCGTGTAAGGACCAGCAACAATTTTAGTATGCGCACGTACTCGAAAATAATATGTCGTGTTAGATGATAGATTGTGCACCGTGTGCTCCAATTTTGTAGCTGTGATATTTTTATCGTCCCAGATTTCTTTAAAGTCCTCGAAGGAAGAACACTGCACTTGGTACACTTGTGTTATTTCATCGGCAAATTCTGGTTGGTTCCATCTGTAAAAATTTTAGCAAAACGAAATAAAAAGGAAGGCTAAAAGAACGTGGCGCAAGATGTTAGAGCGTAAAGAAGTCGAAATAATAATAAAGACTCTAAGTAACAGACATAATATATTAATAATCAGTCAGATATAAAAATATAAAAAATATGTCTGAAAAAATTGATTCGAGTGAACAGAAAATAATACATACGTACGTTTCGATCTTTTCAAGATCTTTTTCAGTGTTCGAGATGTCGTTAGAAAATAAATTAAATTAAATTAAAATTAAATTAAAATAAATTAAAATAATAAATTGAAATAAAATTTGAGCCATTTTATATTTTAACAAAATTATAACAGAATTATCATTTTGATATATTTATGTCGTTGAATTTAAGAAAAAGAAAGAATAGTGAAAGAATTTAAACTGAGAATTTGGATTTCTTACCTCAATGTCACAAAAATGTCGTTTACTTTTTCTGTAAATTGACTGTCGAATTGTACAAATGCTCTGAGAGATGTTGGCTTGCTCAAAATGCTTTCTAAAGATTTTAAGATCGTAAACATTAACACTGTTATATATAAGATTAAGTGGATTATCTCAGTAAATCAGAAAGAACAATTTAATGTGAAAATAAAGGAAAGAGAAAAAATAAATGTAAATGACAAAATATGGAAATTAGCAGAGTATTGATCTTTAAAAAGATAATATAAGAATTTTTAGCGTCATTTAAGATTTAGAAAAGTAATCGTTAATTCATTGCAAAAACGAATAAATAACTTTTATTAAAATGACAAGTACTTTTCGAAAAATTCCTATAGCTTAAGAAGTCAGAAGTATAATATTTGCGACTGCTTTAATACAGAGTAACATATTAATAAAATTGATTTTACCTTAACTTATAACAATTTTTATGTAAAATGTTATGTTTATATTATGCTTTTCTGTTTCTTTTTAGAATTAAAATTTATATTCTTTTCAATACTGGAAGATATTTTTAGATTTGATTGCCACTCTCTCTTGAATTTAAATTATATTTATACCTTTTTATCATAGATTTTGTTATTAATGTTTTATTTTTTTGCAACTTACCGATGGATTCTGGAATGATAGAAATATTTGCAAGTACAATTTCATCGACTTCCCGCTTATTTCTCACAGTACTATCAAAATGGTTCCGGTCAGATTTGAATTTTAGTATATGATGCTCACTTTTCTCGGACATTGAAATATCCTTCATAAAGTGTAACATACGAAAAGAATTAAGTGAATATCATTGAGGCGATTGTTTCTGGCTTTTAATGATAAATTATATAATATATAAAATTAAACAAAAAATTACCATTCGTTTTTGGTTTGGTTAATAATACCGGTTTGATATATACCATTCCTAAATGATATAAATTGAATGTGATGTAGTTTTATTCATGAAATCTATTTTTTATTTATTTTTTTAAGGCATGTTGTATCAAACATAACTGTCAAAGGAAAATCAATCAATAGGTTAACGAGAGTCAATGAGGATTCATAACAGCTTTTATCAAGTACAAGCGAAAGTGACTTACACAGCTACAGTGGAGTGTAGCTCTTTGCAATTATTAAAACAATTTTGTCTAACGTTTTGATTCTTTCTCACGATAGGTTAGTTAACTCTATTCAATTATACCGTAATGCATATTTCTTTTTATAAATTTGCCGATATTACTAAAGTTTTATTAATGTTTGTACTTCAAGAATAAAAAGATTAAAAATATTGTTGCTTTACAGTTATTAAATATTAGTCATAGAATTATATAAATTCTTTTATTTATTACCTTGTCAAGTTTTTTCGTAAATTGTTTCGAATGTTCGTTATATTTTTAACACAAACAAATTCAGCAAATAATAAATATAAACCGATAATGTCTCGATAAAAATATGTGTATATAATTTTATATAAATGAATATATGTACAATAAAAATTAATATAAATTCTAGCGATAGTAGTTGAATATATGTTGATCGAAATATTAGTGTTGATAGATACAACTTGATGAATGATTTTTTTATCAGACAGATTTGCTATCTCGATATTTAGTAGCTCTGTTTCGTTATATAATTATCCTAAACCCAAAGAAATGATGCTAACTTTCTAAATTAATTTTATAAAATAAAATTATATATGCAGGATGTACCTCCTAGAAGTGGCCACCCCCTTTTATCTCTTAAACGAAAAGAGATAGACCATAACAAATATATATGAAATTAAATGGCTTTAACTGAACTTTATTGTGAGCATAGTGGTTGATTACAAAATTTATCTGTATTAAAGAACGGAGAGATATGTATAATTTTTTATAATAATGTAGATATTTTAATATAATAAAAGTTGTAGCGCCATTTGAAATGAATATAACGATGTATGATTTAATGTAAATATTTTACATATTATACGAGATTTTCCGGCTTGAAATATCGCGGGCGACGTCCACCATTTCATTTTCGGCCCTGCGATATAGCCAACTTCTGACTGAGTATCATGATTAAATGACAACATGACATATGTCAACCTCTAATGCACGAGTCAGAAGTTAGCTATATCGCAGGGCCGAAAATGAAATGGTGGACGTCGCCCGCGATATTTCAAGCCGGAAAATCTCGTATAATATGTAAAATATTTACATTAAATCGTACATCGTTATATTCGTTTCAAATAGCGCTACAACTTTTATTATATTAAAATATCTACATTATTATAAAAAAATTATACATATCTCTCTGTTCTTTAATACAGATAAATTTTGTAATCAACCACTATGCTCACAATAAAGTTCAGTTAAAGCTATTTAATTTCATATATATTTATTATGGTCCATCTCTTTTCGTTTAAAAGATAAAAGGGGGTGGCCACTTCTAGGAGGTACACCCTGTATATATATATATATATATATATATATATATATATATTAAAATTATATATATACATATATATATATATATTAAAATTATATATATACATACATATATATATATATATATATATATATATATATACTTTATTCATCTTTTTTTACAACATCGTACATACTTTTTTTTCAGATTGAATTATTTTATTTTATCTTATCTTATCATATGTAGAATATATAATTTATTTTCATTCATGTTTAGTTACACTACTAACTGCAATAACATTCAATTGTTTCTTAATCAAACGAAAATATCTCTTACCTGCGTGAAATTTAATTCCTGATACATGGAAACATTTTCTTCCTGCAGGATGTTTAAAGTGGTATAATCCTTCGGCGTGATAGTTGCCTTTATCAATACTAAACTTTTCAATAAAACACAAAAAATTGTTCCAAACATGATTTGCATTTTTCGTAAACGTTTGCACTCAATCAGTTCCCTGTTCAACCATTCCCGTTGAATTCTCAGTTAATTGTTTTTCTCACTCTACTAATTCTGATGTGTTAATCGAATTGATATTAATTCAAATATATATAAATTTATTTTCGATAAATTCCTTAAAACTCAGTTTTAACGAATCATAAGTTATTATCTTCTAATATTATGTTTTTAGATTTCTCTTTATGGTTCGCGATCACAATATATACCTTATGATTAAATTATGGAATTCTTAGAAAATAAATAATTTTTTTAGGAGAAGAAATGGCAATGCAAAATGATACAAAATGATCATTTGATTGTATAGCGAAAAAAGGAATATAATTATCAGCTTTTTTTATTAATATTATAGTAGAAAAACGTCGATAAAAAAATAACTGTAATCAAATTACAAACGATCAGAGAAGTTATAGAATTATAGATGTTGTAACATTTTCAGCCACATTCAAGCACACGCAGCGTGTAATCGAATTCACTTGAATATTTATTATATCTTTAGTTTTAAATATGTAATTATGACAATTCGTTCGTACGATTGTGTTACTATATACAATTGTGTTACTACGTATGCTTTTTAAAATCCACTATTCGTACACAATTTTTTATGATATTCATTTGATGCAGTTTGAATCAAACGATAAGTAACGCGGTAGTGTGTTTGGCTTGCGATCACAATACTAACTGACTTCGAATGATCAATCTGATCATGTGTTGCCACGCAGTGACGTCTTATTAACTGCATTCCGTTTGTAATTTATTTTTTTCCACGGAGATACTCGCGTTATTTCAAAGAGAATTAAAATCTTTAAATTATTTGACAAAAAAGTTATACATGTATAAAACAAAATAGTTCAATGTATAAATAAAAATAATTATATGTATATATAATTGTTTAATCAATTTTATTATAAACTTTTTACATTAATTTATTTCTGAGTATCTTTTCTTTGGCATAAGATGTACGTTTACTATAAAAAGATATGCTGATTATAAAAAAAGTAATAATGGATTTAAAAAAGCGATTTATACGTTTTCTGTGACATTCATATAATGCAGTTTGAATCAATACATAGCGTTTTTAATATAAATCATGTAGTTCTAGTATAAATAAATACAAATTTTCAATAGCACATAAATAACTAAAATATATAAAATAATTGTACGAGTTATTATTATCGTTATTTGCATCAAATAAACTTATAATAACGTATATAATATAATTTTACTTAATATTAACTTAACATAATATATTTAATATAATATATAATATAAAAAACTAATAATATTAATTACTTTATTATTTTAATTATATTATTGTAATTTTATATATGACAATTTTTATATGCACCAGTGTGCATTAGTGCAGCCAATCAAATTCTCTCTTTCCCCGTTATAAATCAATTACTTTTTTCAAAAAGTGATTTTCTAATGCTTCGGTCTCCTTTTTTGATTTATTCAGTTCATTTATATATTAAATGATGTATAACATTTTTATTTTCAAAACTATTTTCATATTTTTAAAGAAACATTCTGCTAAGAATAATTAAGAATAATGTTGTGTGTCAAGAATAACTAAGAATAATTAAACAAGTATTCATACAATGGTCTCTTTTTTAAATTCATGCATAATAATAGACGTATTTTCAAATATTTTATAAATTTATAAAAATTTATTTCCTCCACAGCGATATATGTATGATATATGTATGTACAAAGATTTATATGTACAATTTGAAATAGAAAAAAGCTCCAAAACATAATATAAAAAAAGTTTAAAAAGAAAATTACAATTGTGTGTTAACATTTACGAATTTACAAAATGGTTAATATTAAAAAGTATGCAGATCTTATATAATATATAAAATACAAAAGTACACATGTCGAATATCTAATAAGTATCGTAAGAAAACAAACATTCAATTATTAATACATGCATATTTATTTACAATTTGTTTCATTAATTAACAATAAGTTATTTCTATCAGTTAGATAATACATATAACAATAATATTTATTGGATTCAATATATCATCTCTTTTACGTCACTTCTTAGAACTACAATATTTTCGAGTTAAAATTTAAAGTTCGATTTAATTTCCGCCCGCATTGCAACTAGACAGCATTGATATCAAATGGATAGTTAACCTTTAATTACGTCAATAGATGACGAAACACAATGTTTTATGACACGTGACTGTCGTCAATAAATAACTTTAAGATATGCTATGATGCCTGAGGTAGCATACATTCGTTTTATATACGTTTCTTAAACGTATCCAATATTTTTTATTCGTAAAACATTAATAAGAAACACATTACACAAGAAAAGAGGGATTAAGAGCCGCGGATGGTAGTGCGTACATTTTTTTTTAAAGATTAATTATTCGCAAAAATTTAAAACGTGCACAAGGCATATACATATTTTACTTGGTGCATTTACCAAGATATAGATTCTCAAATTTTGAGAATTCTGTAGACCTCTCTTTACTCCTTGAAGAGATGTAGACGAGAAAAATATCGGGGCAAAGTCGCTGAATCGAGAAACGAACCCGAGTCTTTCGCTTGCCGGACAACTGCTCTTACCACTGAGCTATTCAGCCTCACACCTTTGGGTGGATATGGATTGGTGTGAATAAATGAAGAAATATTTTATTATAGTGTTTTCGAAAGTTCTCGAGATAAGCTACAAGAATAAATAATAAAAAATAGGAGATTCCGTTTAAAAAATTAATGATGACCTTCAAACGGCTTTCCAAGGTCAACTAATGACACCATCTTATGGCTCCCTTTCAACTTTATAACTTTTGTCTGAAATATTTTTGTCTGCAGTACTCACCCAGTGAGGAATGAATTATCAAAAAGTTATCGATTTGATGTCAAATTGACTAAATTAATCTGCAATCGATTTTTACATCAATTCGATCAACTGGTGGGCATAATTTCGATTTTTTATTGATATCCATATTTCGTTAATAATGATGTATTTTTGATTATTTTACTAGATTTTAATATTTAATATTAATATTTAATTTTAAATTTTATTATATAGGATTGACCCTAGAACTCGCACATCAGCCGTTTTTGAAATCATTTTAAGAAAAAATTTGAATGCCAAAATACAAAAAAAAAATATATATATTATAATAATTTTTAAATAAAAAACATTTAAAGCTGGTCTAAGCGCGTGAACTAGGCAATCTTATTAACCAACTGTAAATGCTTTTTATATAAAAATTATTATATATACCCTTAAGAATTGAGCATTAGAATTTTCGTCTTAAAATGATCTTTAGAAAATGTATGATGTGCAAGTTTTGAATGCAAATACTCTGTATATTTTTATAAATTAAAATCTAAGCAAGAAAAAGTTAAAATAAATGTTTGCAAATGTTTCCAACAAAAAATTAAAGATTAATAAAAATTATATAAAAACATTTTAACAATTTTTAAAATCATTTATTAAGAAATTCACTGTAGAAAATTTTATTAGAAACAGCGAGAACATTTTATGATTACAAAGAAATCCAATCTAGTTAGAAATAAAACTAGCTAAAATCTAAAATTAGATGTTGTATATAAGATGTTTGCCTCAAAATAATCTTGATAAATATTTCGTTAACTTATACTTATAATTACTTATACTTACAATATGTACTTATATGTATACTTATATAAAAGAATTTTAACAAATTATAAAGTAACTTATTAATCAAAATGCATTGTAGAAAATTTAACTTAGACATAATTACAAAGAAATCTAATCCAGTTAAAAAGAAAATTAAAATTTAAAATCAGATTGTAAGATGTTTGTCTCCAAAAATAATCTTCAAATATTTCATTAACTTACTTATAATTACTTACAATATGTACCTATATGTAATATAAGTACATATATGTTACTTATGTGTAACATATATAAGAAAAATTTCTCTCGTTAATGTATAATAAGTGCATAAATACTAACAATTATAGTTTAGCACTCATATTTAAAACTATATTTAAAATATTTCTCTTAAATAAAATTGCATTTAAATCACAGGCAGCATTATATGACTTAGGACAGGCCTGTGGCCTAGTTTTCGTAGCAAGAAATAAAAAGAATTAAACATAAGCAAAAATCAGCCAAAAAATGCAAAGCAGTTACAAGTGTAACTTGAAAAAAGAATCCGTTTTTTATGGTTAAACTGGCTGTATATCTTTTTCTTTCCAATGTAAACTCTAATAATTACTACTAATATAATTACTCAAAATGTTACTATTAATTCAAATGTTTACTATTAATCAAAAATTACTAATTATTTAGAATAAAATATTATTATTATAACAGAACAGACATTTTTGTACTACAGTAACAAAATAAACAAAAACTTTAAACTTTTTGTCGCCAGTAATGATCAGCAATTTATATAACACTGTATTTCAAAATTACTGCCAGCCAGCGTAGTGTCAGTTATAATCACATTACTTTACGTAAACTCAAGTCCCTGGCACTATAGCTATTCTTTCCAATACAAAAAAAATTCTCTGAAATGTCATCATTAATGTACGTCACTATGCGATGCTGATAGTCAAGTTGATCTATATATAACGGTGTGGCTAGTGTCACTAATTTGAAATTATTTAATAATTGCTTTCATTTATAAAGAAATTTTTTTGCAAATTTAATAAATTTATTGTTTACAGTCGTTTATATTCTTTTTCAGGTTTCACAATGCTTTACGTGCGTTGTACTTATAGTTGTCCAAAAAATAAAACCGAGCACTTGACTACAGCGGACATTTAGAGAGAATTTTACGGCTCTGCCAAGGGACCTACATATATAATACATTTGCAGCGTTGATAACAATTTTGCGTTGAGCACAGCCTAAGAAAATTCTCTATAGTCGACCTAAAACCGGACTTTTGATTGCCTTTTTCTTCATCGTTAGGCATTGATTGTAGATATCAGTTCTCTTCTACACACTGCATCATGTTGTTTACGCCATGGTGCATTTGCAAGCCAAGTACTAGCAACTTTGTCACATACTGTCAAATCTTTTGCTTCAAAGCGTGTCATTAGAGCACCTAAACATTCAAACAAAAAGTATATTATATT